TGGTTATGCGCTGGTTGTACAGGATTGCCAAAAATGTTTTTCCATGGGGCGATCAGAAATCTTTCTTTGTCTGTCGAACTTTGTAGAGCTCTCTTTGCTAATCATTTTGGTAAAAAAATCTTTTGAGCGTGATCAATAAATAACGACGCTAGGGTCAAAATACTGAAAATTTCAAAATCCTCTGGTTGATATAGCTAAGATATTTTTGAGTATTTTGACCTTAGTACCATTATTTATTGATCAAATTTAAATACTTTTTTTAGAAAAATGATTAACAAAGAGAGCTCTACAAATCCTGATAGACAAAAAAATTGCTGAGAAATTTGTGTTTTTGTGATTGACTACTCACTCACGTGAGTGTCCAACCACTTGAATCTTGCTATAATTCTATAGCCCATTCTCATCTTAAGAGTGACGAGTTATAGTCCTAAATTCCGTTTTCGACGGGCTTTCATTTGGTATAAAATAGAATGTTGATATCATTTGTCGTTGAAGTTGTACCTCATGAAAAAACATTTTCGGAAACTCTGTACAACCAGCACATAACCAGCCGAAATAGGTTTTATAGATAATTTAATATTATGATTTTAGTTGAAGTACGATCAAATAGCATAGAAAGATAGAGCTTTTTTTTCTCTATCAGACTATATAGAAAGAAAGTTATTCAAGCCTACTATACGGTATTAAAGTGTCACTGCCCGTACTTTTGGTATGCCTTAAGTATTTTTGTAAGGACAACTGCCCTGTCCTAGCTTTGCTATACTAGGAATGCTTCGTTCTTGTATAAAGATTTTATTTTCGAACAACAATTATCAATAATAGAAAATACAACGTTGAAAACTTCTACGCAGGATTTTCCTATTGTTGTAGGGTCGCATGAGAAGCTTGAATAGTGCACTATATATTATGTTTGCTGATTATAGTTTCTATTGGATGAGTATAATTTCAATATAAGTAGAAAGTTTAACTTGAAAAGAAGCGTAAGTAAAGGAATGTGAATTAAATCCCCTCAAATTACATAACCGGTGTTAAAGTATTTTAAAGTACGGTAAAGAACGTGAAATACGAAGTGTCATGTTTCCCCTTTCAGTGACATCTATATCGAAATGAAATCTTTCTTTTGATGTCAAATCTTCATAATTATGTTAAATAACTATGTAGAAATTATATTTGATTCTCAATTTGACAAAGTCTGAGAATTTTTTGAATTAAATAATTCATAATCAACTATCGAAATCGGCGATTAAACGCGATTTTATCACTCCGATTTATCACCGATTTTCAAAAATCGGTTCTTCTCTTATAATCGCGATAAAATCCGATATAATCATCGATTTATTAGCGAAATACGATTAATCGCGATTTACCGCCGAATTTTCAATAAATCGCCAAAATCGCCGAGATTTTCACGATATGTGGAGGAATGAATATATAAAATAGTTTCAAATATCTCAATGTTTATTTCCATGCTTCCCAAAGTATTTGAAATATGTTTTTCAGAGTTTATTTGTCATACGATTGCGTTTTGCCTTTAATAGAGTTTTTTGTGGAACTCACGTATGTTTTCGAAGAAAATAGTGAGTGTAAGTTTTCAGTTCGAGGTTGGCGGCTCCCCCCTCACCGCCCACCACATTACAGACACATAGCAACGGGAAAGAGAACATTACATACATACCCCCCATTACAGACACTCCACCATTACAGGCATCCCCCCTATTACAGACAACCCCCCATTACAGACATACCCTCCATTACAGACACCTCACCATTACAGGCATCTCCCCATTACAGACAACCCCCCATTACAGGCATACCCCCATTACAGACATCCCCCCC